TGCTCAACAATTACTTTACTCCATTACCTGCTCATATGAGCCTCCTCCACTCGCTTTGATGTGGAATTAGTAAAACCAGCTGTTATTTACTTGTTTTCCGTTTTCTATTTCATTTCATTTATTCTTCCCCTTTCACATGTGATTTTGGGGAATGGGCGATTCAGTGAAATATTATAAGCGTAAGCATTCAAACAACGCTTGCTATGTTTCTGTAACCATGCAAAACATCTGTGTTAAAACTGCAAAACTTTAGGTAATAAAACGTATTAGAGGCTTACCAAAGAACTCTTGGTGTGTCTCAGCATTTTACACAGACCAGCAATTTTATAATCTAATCAATTTCTCATTATGATGTGGGTCTATTTTTGATTTCTGTGCCAAAAGGTTAACACCCCCGTCACATGTTCTGCCAAGAACTAAATGAATTTCTCTGATTCTGCCAAATACCTCCAAAAGGGGCTTAAGCAGGCCCCATTTCAATTGCCTTCCATTAATGTTAACTTTTTGCCCTAAAGTTAATAAAAACTGAGCACTGTCTACTTTAATTTTAAGATATGGAGGTTGTTGCTCATGCCTCTACTTTTTCCTACATTTTAATAGCTCTCACAATTCAAAGATTTTAGATTATTTAGAAAAGACTGAGGTGCAGAGTTAAGTGGCTTATAATAGCTTTTCAGTTAAATTGAGTTTATGGTTAAGAATAGCGGTTGTTTTATGGATAGTCCTTCCGCATTTCTCATTAGTCTCAAGAAAACAAAACAAAATCTTGGCCTTGTGGTTTCGGTGAAGTGTTTACTTCTCTTATGGGTAAGAATGACAAGTTTATTGGAGATCAGCACTGACATTATTGGAATCATTCATACAAGCTGAGCATTTATCCCATTGATCTCGACCTTGAGATGGGCTCTCAGAGACCATCTCTTCCTCAAACCTAGACATGGTCTGCTGGCAGGTCACAGCTCGTTAAGTTGAGCTCTGGGCTGTCCTCAGATCTGGTCTGTATGACTCCGGCAGAGGACAATCCGGTCGGGCCAACTTTCTGTCAGCAGCTCTAAGGTTACACTGCCTGTCTTTGGCCCTTCCTTGGCTTCACTTTAAAACCTGTTGGAGGGGGACAGGATTTATACAGATCTCCCTGTCAGGTGATTCGGGGAACAATACCATGTATGTTCCCATATATGTCCTTCTTAGGTTTTTATAGACAGGTACCTGTCTTTAGACTAGGGTGTACATGTTCATCCACATACAGTATGTCAAGTGTATCCAACTATACAAGACTAAAGCTACACCTGAACAATGTTCAGTGTCTGCCATATTTCTATAGAGACATTTTTGAAGTCTTAAGAGAAACGTGAGTGCAGAAGACTCAAAGCCCCACTGTAATCAGTGTTAGAAGACAGTCTAGTAGATAAGGCTTGTGTAAATATTGTCTGAGTATATTTAGATTGTCATGTTGAATGAAGGTACCAGCATACTACCAAGCTTCAGTGTTAGTGTAAGGCTGATGGCAAGCATGAAAGCCCTATACAGAGCCTTTATGGTTTAAAGACTTTGTTTTGTGTCAGTGACATGATTGTTCAAAGTCTCTCTGCTTGCCAAAACATGTATTACACTTGTTGAAATGAACACATGAAGCATTTTTCTAGAAATGTTAGACATGCTCTTGCATGTGTATATGATGAAGTAAAACTCTTGACCCAGTTATCAAAGTATCACAACCTGGTATATAAGTTGTGTAAAGAAAAAGAATAGTAGTGCATCATTCACTTCTTGTCCAGATTGTACATGAGACTCAGAAGGCTGCTTTCTTAAACAAATGCCACATATCGGATAACATATACACAACATTATAGCTAAATACCTTTCCTTATCACATCATAGGTTTACAATGATTCCAACTGTGCAAAAGAGCAACCATTATTATTAATCTGCCTCTGGCTCTATGACTGGACGAGGATAAAGTGGGTGTGTGTGTGTGTTAGGGCAGTGCCGATATTAAACCTCTATTACAATCGAAGCTTCACTTTTTCCAAAGTAAAGAAACGTCAAAACAATAGAATTTTAGTGGTGATGTCAGGTTATGTTTTCTATCTAGCTGCATCTACAGAGGAATTACAGCCAGGAGAAGTCCAATCAACGTAAGAACATTTTTCAGTGATAGAAACAATAGCTATTACTCATATGTAATGTCAAAAACCTAGAACTGCAAGACAAACACTGAAATGACTATTAGGAGACTTATTTGTTGAACCTGCGGACTGTCTGCCTGGGTAAAAAAAAAAAAAATCCAAATACATTTTATTTTCCATTATTACATCTCTTGGAATGGAAAATGTACTCTAATTCCCAGATAAATCTCTTCTTCTGTTTCCTGTCTTTTCCAATTTGTTTCGCATAAGGTCATTCCAGATTTTACATTCCGATAACATGATAACACAGGTTCTCTGTGTTTTATCTTTGAAGTAGAGTTGGTCACAGTCAGAAATATCAATTACGGATTTCTGTGTCCTTGAGTATAGAAAAATATTTTTAAGATTAAGTAGTATTTCCTTTTAAAACGGTCAGTACTTTATTCTCTCAGAAAGTCTATAGCGTTTGTTTGCACTGGCTTCATTGTAGTGTTTGTCTGACCACTGCATGACCACACTGGAACAAAATCCCCTCTGACCAGAACTGTTATACACAAATGTAATTATGGTCATTTCGATCAGATTCTATCTTAAGGCCTCACTCATATTTCAGTGTTTTTTGATGTTTTGATTTTTTTGGCATACATCCCTTTGTGAATGCTAAAATGAAAAGGTACACATAGATACTATCAGCACATTGTTGGGGAAAAACTTCTGTAAATTGGTGCATTACTAATATGAAAATACATTTCCAATTTTGTCTCATGTTTGCATAACACAAGTCTGAAACAGGAAAACATCCCGTGGCAACATGAAATATTATTTATTAATATTTCAATTACTTCAGTCCATATTTGCTACAATAAAATTTCGACATTTTGCAAAAAAAAAAACAATGATTGCTGGTAATGAGTCTTTCAAAATTGTTATTTTTAAGGATGCAATGACATTTTGGAAGTAGTGTCTAAAGCCTTTGTTCTCGCAAACTGCCATTCATACTTCTGTGTTGTATTCTTACAGCTACACATGTACAAATTCACAAATTCACAAATCCACATCCACATTTAAACTCAGCCTTCTACCACTGGATGGTTGGTTCTTTTAACAAGAACAACTCTTCATGTCGTCCATTTAAACAGTCTGTGACTTTCCAGTTTGACTTTGTGCAAGCTAATTCACATAGGCCTACAGTCAGTAAAATGGCATTATACTTTGAGGTCCGTCTGCAGGTTGAACCCAGAGACTGTAGCCTTTTGCTATGTAAAAGACAGTCAGAATTAATTATTTACTGAAATTGTTTAAGAAACTGGCCTTGATAGTTTGGTAAAACAGAAATGTTAAAAAGACAACTGAAGTTGGCATTTCCTTGGACTGGTTGAACAAAATGCTAAATGCTAATGGACTAAACTATGGCAGTAAGACACAAGGTGTACAAAAGACTTTCTTTCAAAGAATAATTTGAGGGAATATCTGTATTCGCTCTCTGGCTGAGAGTTAGATGGAAAGATTTGTACCACACCCTTCTGTACAGTAAACATGAAGCATAAGCCAGCATCTGGTTAGCATAGCTTAGCACAAAGACTGGTAACAGGGGGAAATGGCTAGCCTGGCTCTGTCCCAAGGTAGAAATGTATTCATATTTAATGGACAGGTATGGGAGTGGTATCAATTTTCTCAAATAACTCTCAGCAAAGAGAGTGAATCAGCGTACCATCCCAAATTGTCAAACTGTTCCTTAAATTTGAGACAAGATACTACCTTATGTTAAAAGCTGGAGTAAATACCTGGAATAAATGAATCATTCAAACTAAATTTGCAAAAGGGGGCAGCATAAACCTTTATAAGAAAAAAACTGTGTCAACTAGTCAACTAATTACTTCTGTAGAGATTGCATATGTTTATATGAAACTTTTATTAGTGTAACACAAAAGACAGGACATTATTATGCAAAACCTGGTGTGTGTAATGTGCATGCTGTGTCCTCAAGGCTCAGTTAGGACATAGAGGGTAAGACAAACAAAGCAAAACACAGAAAAAATAAAGTTAAATCCAGTTGCAATGGCTGAACAAAGTGCGGGACTTCAACACCAGAGACTGGGGTTCACATCCTGAGTCCTACCTGTGGTTAGGCTTAGGCAACAAAAAGCACATATGTTAAAGTTAGGAAGAGATCGTAGTTTAATTTAAATGCTAAAGACTCAGCACTAACCTTAACCAAGTGATGTGAGTGCTGCAACATAACCATAAAAGGTTTATCATACTTTATTTGCTACAAGCAGATGTAGTATGGAAAGATCGGATATTGTGGGAAAATCCAATGAAATACACCATCAGTAAACATACTAAATGTATCAACATTTTGCAACTTGCTGAACACATTAATTCACAATTTTTCTTCATCATGAACAGAAAAGGTAAGACAGCATCACATTTCCTTCAAAACGTATTTGCCGTTAAAAATCATCATCATCATCAACATCGGGGAGGAGATAATATTAAAAACAAAATTTTCTACATTAAGTCTCATGCCTGTAAATTCTTCCTGTCACGAAGACAAAATTCATTCAAACTGACATCACATCATGCTGTTGCTTTTAGTGTTGGTGTTGCATTTACTGGAGCTGGTTGCAATCTGCGGCTTCAGCGCTAGATGGCACTAAATCCTACACACTTGTCCTTTAACTAGATTAGTTTATTCCGCTAAATTCCTGTATGATGTTTTACAGTGTAGTTTGAGAATGACAAATATTTATTTGAATAATTTCTTGGAGAGTTATCATACTTAAAATAAAAATGATGAAGCTGTTAAAAGGTAAGACATGAAGGAATTCAAACTAATGAAATAACAATATTCTGTCCTTATGTGTGTAGGTGGATGTTTATGACGAGGGATCGTACACCTGCTCCATACAGACTAAGCAGCAGCCCAAGACCTCACAGGTCTACCTCATTGTACAAGGTAAGTGGCACGCACCTGAACACTACCAGCGAACATATAAGATGCTGCCTGTCCATGGCAGATGGAAAGATTTTAAACTTTGAAACTGGCTAAAGATCATGATACGCTAAACAGAAACTTGCTGCCACTCATCAGCTGCAAATTTCTATTATTATACGTGTATTCATTTTAAATTAAATCCTAAATGTCTAAAGAGTCAGAGACATCATTGTGCACACGCAGCAGACATCTGTGTCACTACCACACTATTATTAGATGTTGAAATGTGTTCCCCTAAGGTGTCTTTGAGGAAAATATATGAATATGTATTGTCAGGAAAGAAAAAAAGCTATATGTCACAAATGTCCGCCTACAGCAACAGAATTTCTTGTTCCAGTTCAAATAAATCTTAAGTGCACTTGAAAAGCCTTCAGCAGTATTTTTCCATTTCAAAGGATAGGAAGTTATTTCTCCTGAATGGAGACAGCGGGAAAGTTGAGAGCAAGAGATAATCATCAGGAGAGTGACAGAGAGAATGTGCTCCAGGATTTGATACAAGGCCTGGAGGGTGGAAATTAAGTTTATTTTATTATTATTTTGGCCAAAATGTCCTCTAAAAGTTAGCTTTTGGGGTTTAAGGTTGTAGCTGCTAAGATGAAAGAGAAATGCTACAACATCATGAAATTGTTGTACATAAGACGGCTGACACAAAAAGGAAGTTTTTTATATATTGTGTGCACATTATTCTCTGTGAAATGAAAACAGCCTAATTGTTAAAGAAGCATTTTTTAAAATTCAGACTTTATCTTAACACAAATTATCCAACCGTAGTAATGCAGACAACACACAAATTTACATAAAGGCATTACCAAGCAGCTATGGTGCATTGAACAAATTAGTGACTGGACGTGCCAGAAGTCCCTCAAGTTAAACAAAGATAACAACAGAAATAATTGTTTTTCGTGCCAAAAAATAATTATTAAAAGTCAGCCTGCTGATACCGTAGACATATAGCAAGAATTAAAGGACTAAGACCAAGGACGTAAAAAGCTTCACTCCAGTTCTCAGATCTTTACAAAGTCTTCCAAACACACATAAATATTCCTTACCTTACTTCAGTACTACAATGTATAATAATTTAAACTTCTTAAAGGAATAGTTTGAAATTTTAGGAAATATACTTTACGTAATTTTTTTTGCTGAGAGTTAGATGAGAAGATCAACCCCATATGCATGTATCTGGATCCAGCAGCCGCTTAGCTTAGCTTTTTTTTGTACAGATTAATCAAAGGGGGTATAACATGTTAATTAGTGAGCCTTTGAGGTGCTGGTGAATTTTGTTACCTTCAGACAAAGCCAAGCTAGCTGTTTTTCTCCTGTTTCCAGTCTTCCAGTCTTTATGCTAAACTAGAATATCCTTTAACCGCCATATTTCATTTCACTGTGCTTTCACTTTCCTCTCTATTAAACTTTGTCTAATGAAGAGAAAAATTAAACAAATAATCTTGGCCAAAGCAACCTCATTAAAACCCATATTCTCATCTTCTCACTTCTCCATGTTACAGCAAACTTCAGGATCGTGATTGTTTTTAACAGTTAGAATAGTTGGTCATTTTACTTCTTCTTTAAACAACTGAAATGTCTCTGAATTTGCTAGTAACCTCTCGGGACCATGAAAGAATAAGAGTAATAAAAATTGAGCTGTGCATCAAGGCCAAAAAAAAGGGAGTTCATTATCCATCATAATGCCATTGTCAGGTCTCTGTAGTCTCGTTTTCCAAAGCCACAGTTAGGTGACGTAAATTGTCAGAAATAAGCAATAAGCCTGACAGACAGTGCAATACCTGAATGCTCAAAAAAGGGATCTCCTATACTTTGTTTGTTTGCATGTGTGTGGGTGTGTGTGTCTCTGTATGCTTCCAGCTATGAATCCTTCAACTGTCATCTCTCCAGTATCCCAAGAAAACATATTGAAGCACTACGTTGAGTGCTGTTTATGTACAGTGGCAAATCTAATGTTGTAGCTCAATACATTTCACCACAGATGATTGTTCCATCAATCAGAGTTTGTTTGTGTTTTAACTGCCCTTTACATTTTAAACCTACTGGCTGTCTGATGTCTCCAGATAAATACTACAGGCTGTCAGTGTAGGAAATGCACCACTGTGTAATTTCCCCATACACAATGGCCTACTAGAGAACTTCTCATCCAGCTATGAACTGAAGATACCATCCATTAATAGCATTTTTAAAGGTCAATATGTGAATTGATGCTCCTCTTCTTGGATCCATGGTAGCAAATTGCCTCTCCTTCCCAGAATCCATTGTGTCCGATTATTCAGTGCTTGATCATTGGAATGTCCTGCGTCGACTTCCAGAGTTTCTATAAGCGCCCTCGTTTATCACGGCTAATGCGACAGTTATAGCCAAACATTGATTCTGTTGCTTTTTTTCCTTGCTACTTTGTCCTCTGCTCTGCCTCTCAAAGTCCCATTCAATTTTGCTGCCATTGTTATACTCATCTGTTGTATTTCCCCACTATGTGGGTGTAATCTTCTCCTTGAGGTTCAATTCAGCATCTTTCATCTAAATTGCCATACTGTGCTGAAGGTTTCTGGCAATTACTGTGAATGTGTTACTGTGAACAAATACTGTGAAGGTTTTATTTACTTTTAAACTATGGTCAAATATTGAAAACAGATGTGAGGAAACGACTGAATGCTGAATACTGATTAGATAACAAGTACATAAGTAAAATGCTTCATGAACAATCCACCACTTATTTAACTTCAACTTCTGCTTTGGTCTAGTTCTATTCAACAATTTTTCCACTCACTAAGGGAAGATAAGAATGTGTCTTTTTGTGTGGCTCCACCATACCGTCACATACAGAAACCTAAACCAAGCCCCCCAAAACCCAATCAACTCTGCAGGATAATAATTCACCCTCCCTTCATCTTTTAATGGGTATGAAAATGTTCCAAACATCAAACATTGCCCCTGGTTACAGACCCGAGAGCGGGTTCACATAACCAAAGCTGACAATTTTCTGCTAGCAGGGACAGGGACGTAATTGGAAAACAAATGATCAGACAAAGTAAATTTGCGCTGGATGAAAAAGTGGCGGACTCGCAGGGCTCAGACGAGTGGTACCAAGCTGCAGGGTGACTGCACATGACAAGAATCCCAACATCATGGCCGCCTTTCCACCCCAATCCAATTTGATCTTTGTAAAACACAGATATAGAAGTTTAGCAGATGGGCAAGCCCAGGCCAATATTGGGATGATTTGAAGGTTTGACTTTGATATTTGCCAAGTCTATTAGCTAACCGGATATGTTTATGTTTGTGGTAATGTCAGTATAAGTGTGTGTGTGTGTGTGCGTGCTACTTGCATACGTCTACAGTACTATGTCTGAGTTGGGCTGTGTTGTGGTAATAGTGGTTATTGCAGATTCAGACCTTTGTTTGATTTATGGTCACAGCTGTAAATCAGGAAAAATGTTCTTCTCTTGCTAACTTTTTCTTTTAATCAGTAAACCTATCCATTTCACTTTTCCCGTAGCCTATGAAGAGGTATTATAGAGTTATATTTTACGCCCTTTGAACTTCAACCAAATATCACCCCATTAAAATTATAACTGTGCTACAGCATTGATGGGATTTTTGGAGTTTGCATAAAGTTCAGGTTAAATATTCAACCATTTGATCAAGCTGGAAAAAGTATACTCTGTAGACACTGCGTGTGACAGCAATCCCAGTGAGGGGGAACAGTCTGTGCTTTCATGCTGATATCTACGGTGTTAAATCATGTCTGTAGCCCATATAAACTGCTTGGCTGTCATTAATGATACTGTTCCATTCCTAAAGGACAGGCAGCAGGAGTGCATTTCTCCAACTGTAAAAGAAAAATATTTGACATATTAAAAAGTTTAATAGCTTATAACTATTATCATACTGAGCTAAAGCTTTCTTGAATCCATTTGCATAAGACTAATGTAACTTGGGGACATCCAGTGATCTGCCATAATTGTGAATATAATAAATAATATAATTTAATATAATTTTACTTTGTGTGTTAAAACACTCTTCTACCATTTCTTACTTACACGCATGGCCTACCAAATGCTCAACATTATGGGGTGTGACTGACACTATTAAACAACTAACACCATTACTGTACTTAAACAGCGGGCAGTGAAACAGGATTAAACAGGAACAACAGACTGACATAGTTGCAAGCAGGAAACAACACACCATAAACCTGAAATAACTCAACAAATTGGACAGTTTACCATGAGTGTTTGTACATATATCCAGGGTTAGTTAAGGCCAGAGGTTGAATTCGACTGAAGTCTCCTGACAAAATTTCCATTTATCCATTAAAATATCTCAACATTGGGTGCCCGGTTAGCTCAGTCGGTACGAGCTGGTGACCCATGTACGGAGTTGCTGCAGCGGCCCGGTTCAAATCCGACCTGCGGCCCTTTCCTGCCTGTCATCCCCTCTCTCTGCCCACCTTTCCTGTCCATCTACAGCTGACACTATCTAATAAAGCCAATAAAAGGCCCAAAAAAAATAACTTTAAAATATCTCAACATCTTCGAGATGGATTGGCACAACATTTAATACAGACTAGTGACTTTAGTGATTCCTTTAGTGCCGCCATTAGCTTGACCTTGAGTGGTTTTGAGAGAAATGCCTCAGCAACAATTGGATGGATTGTCATACAATTTGGTACAGAGAGAATGAATTGTAATAACCCTAGTCTTTTCATTTAGCCCTAGTTTGGGGACCAAATGAATCTTCCAAGCTCATGTTTTATGCATTTGTGAATTAGTCTGGCCCTTCCAGGCCCCAACATCAGGCCAAAATTTCAGTTTGTCTAATACTTTGGTTAATCACCAAATCTGTAAAACCTTTTAACTTTCCATCAGCATCAGCTGGACTTTTTTTTGCTAGTTTTCAAATGTTAGCACGTTAATGCACTTAACTAAGACGCATAGAACATGATAAACGTA